GTACTATCTCCTTAAGCCCTCCTGACCACCCTTTGGGGTGTGGGTTTCCAAGTGATTGCCCAAAGTCATACAGGTCATAACAGGAGTAAGGATGGAGAACTAGAACTTGAGCCTGAACTCAAAGTCCTTGGAGGGAAATGGGGAGCATTCTTGCCTGTTTCCAGTCAGGACCTCCCCCAGAATCCGGGTTCACCCTGGTTAACAGGATATGCTCAGCCCTTATTAAATATCCTCAGGACTAGCTGTAAATAAAGCTGGCCCGTTCTGCCCCACCTAATGGCCACTGCTCTCCACTTCGATGAAGGAAGAACTGAAGAATGAAGATTAGTATCAGAAAGGTCTCCACTCAGCCTGGCCCAGCCTGGGGACTAAAGGGCCCAGTGCTTTCTCTCCCAAGTACTGGTGAAAAGCCCTTTCCACCAGGGCTTTCTCTTTCCTCTTGGGTCCTCAGCTCCTCTACTGCCCAGCTCTTTTCTACAGTCAGCTCAGAAGATGTCAGGTCCACCTGGAGGGCCAGGCAGCCACTGGGGTGGCTCTTTACCCTCTGACCTGCCTCCCTCCCTTCCCTTTATCATCAGCAGCATAGAGTAGGGCAGGGAGCTGCGGGAAGGGAGAGGGTAGCCATGGGGTCTCAATTCCTCATCAAATTTTGTTTCTCTTTCTCAGATGAAGGGCGGGGGGGAGGACTTCAAATAGGAGAGAGGCCTTTCTTCAGAAGGGGCAACTTTGACTGTTTTTAAAGGCATTGTACTTCTTTAGCAAAGAAGAATAGTTTTAATAGCTATTGCATTAAAACCTGGTTCTCTTTAGCCAGGGAACTTTGGCCTCATGTCTGAGCCTAGGTTTACCTCCTGAATGGGCAGCAGGTAATCCTGAATGAGTCTATAAATGGGCATCTTGCCAGGCATGAAGGACTGTTGGGGGGATTAACTGGGACCTGTCTAGTAGAGAGTGGGCAGCGCTGGGCCTGGCCTTGAGAAACGGGCAACACTGGCTTTTTATAGACTCCCATTCTGTGCTGTTTATGTTTTTATTTAAGAATTTTTCTAAAGTCAGTGTAAATGTGGATGAGTGTTAGAGTCGCATAATGCATTCATGGGGCTTCATTATAACATTTTCTCTGTTTTTTTGGTATTTTTAACTTTTTCCAAAATAAAGAGTTTGGCTTTTGCTTTGTTTTGTTTTTTAAGCAATTAAAAATACTGCTTCTCTTGACCCTACTTCAGAAAAGTCAGGAATCTGTTTGGTCTGTTTTAAGGCTTGATTGTCAGGACAGTAGGCAGAAGAAGAAAGAGCCAGTCTTTAGTCAATACATAGAGACAGAAAGTAGAAAGGTGGTTATCAGGGGTTGGTGGAGGGAAACAGGGAGTTGTTTAATGGGTATAGAGTTTCAGTTTTGCAAGATGAAAAGAGTTCTAGAGATTGGTTACACAACAGTGTGAATGTACTTAATGCTACTGAACAGTACAGTTAAAAACGGTTAAAATGGTACATTTTCTGTTATGTGCATTTTACTATAATTTCTTTAAATGCCATTTAAAAAGAGAGAGAGAAATCTCAAAAAAAAAGCCAGTGTGTGAGTGTCACTCCTGAGGCTTGCTGGCTTACAGTGTCTGGCCACTGTGGCCTAGTCTGTGGTTAAGAGTTTAGATCACTTGGTGGCCTCACGGTCATCAGTCCACTAACTAACTCTGTGACCTGCCAAGTGTGGCTCAGGCTCTCTTTGCACCAGCCCCTGGGAGTGTGGGAGCAATCAGTCAGCTGGTGTGCAGAGCATCCTCAGAGGTGTTGTTTGTATGTTTCACCACTGCCACCAACACTAAGGGCTCATGTGCATGTGGCTGGCCTCCCAGATTCAGGGTGAGTGCTCTGATAGGCTTAGGATTTTTTTTCTTAACCTTATTATGTTAACAGTGCTCCCGCTGTTCAAATTTGGGACAGTGTGAATATCCAAAAAGAAAAATGTAGATGAAATGGTAGAATTGTTAAAAATTCTTTTTTTCAACCCCAGTGTAATAATTTATCAGGAAAGGATCCCCCATGGATGCCAGACCATTGAGTTAAAGGCTGTTGGGAAACAGGATATTCACTTATTCGTGAGGTGTCACCTCACAGATGACTTATTAATTTCACAGGAGAATGGTACCTTTAAAGTGGAGAGATCTGGTGTCAGCACCTTAACCAAGTGATCAAATGTAGCATCGCTATTGCTGGGACAAACTGATGTTGTATAATTCCTGATGTGATCTGTTAAGAGGGACAAAACGTCACCTCTGTAGTTTTCTTGCTCAAACCGTTTGATCATGAGGAAACAATCAGGGAATCCAGAATATGGGACATTGTACAACTTGCCTGGATTCATCCAAAGAGTCCATGTCATGAAAAACAAACAAAGAATGGGACCAAAGAGATGTAACAGACACCATGTGTAGCCTTTTGGATCTGGATCAAAAAAACAAAGGTTATAAAGGCATTTTGGGGACCCTTGGGGAAAGTCAAATATGGATTGAATGTTAGAAAACGTTAACTACATCAATACTGATGTTCTTGCAATTGCTAATAACATTATGATTAGGTAGGAAAATGACCTCAGGGATGGATGCTGAAATATCCAGGGGTGGCATGTCATGCCTGCAACTTAATTAAAAAATGGTCCAGTAAAACCAATATTTATATAACACACACACACACACACACACACACACACACACACGGCAATTGTGTGGCTCCGTGTCAGCTGTTGGTGAATCTGGGGAAGGGTCATCGGGGTTCATTATTCAGGTCTTTCTTCTTTCCTGTGGATTTGAAACTTTTCCAAATAAAAAGTACATCAAACAAGTTGAAGACAGTCTGTGGCTGTTGTCTGACTTGGAAAGACTCGGACTTCTGTACCCCACCCCTCCTGGGGGACCTGCCTAAAGACTCCCAGGCATCTATTGTCTGTGCCATTTGTCAATAGGGAGCAAGCAGCTGAGTGGCGGTGCTCGGTGGTGGCGGGCTGGGGACAAAGGGCTGCTCGGCTCACGGTCATGGGAGGAGGGGAGGAAACGTCTGCCGGGCACATGCAACACCAGGAAACTCATAAAATCTTTGCTGGCTGTGAAATGTGTTGTTCGCTAAGAGCAGGGGCTGCAAGGTCACTCCTAGGTGTGGAGCTGAGTGCTTGCATGAGCTTTTTCTCTGAGCCTCTGGGGCTCTGAACAGAACCTACCTGGGAGGATCTGTTGTGTGTCCAGCACAAAGCCTGGTGCCCAGCCCCAGCATGGGAGCTCTGTCCATTTCTGTGTGCTGGGTACTTCTTACAGCACTTTGCATCCTGCATAGCTATGCTTTCTCCGTGTGTGGCGGATTCCTAGAAAAGAAATGAACAGCCTGTGGAGTTTAGTGCTTTTAAGTCCAGGGTCTACTTGTCGAGGATTCAGACCCAGCTCTGTCCTGCTCTGCAGTGCGGTGGGTCCCCATGTAGCCTCCCCAGTGTGGGGAGCAGAGAGAGCAGATGAATCAGATTCCTCAGTAATCCATGGCCCCTTCCATTTGAGGGTGATCCCTTTTGGGCCTGGTGGCTGCGGAAAAGGCAGAACTCTGAAAGGTTTGAAAAGCACTTAGGGCAGGGAGAAATTAATCTGATTGAGCACATCTGCCGTCGGAATAGATTGCTGGCTGCCAGCAAGACCGTGGAAGGGTCTTGGTGCCACCGCTGGCAGGATGCAGTAGCGATGCTACATTTGATCGCTTGGTTAAGGTGCTGACACCAGATCTCTCCATTTTAAAGGTCCCAGATGCAAAGGTTTCTGCCAGAGCGGTGACCCTCTGCCACCCTCTGCTCTGGGAAGAAAAGAGCTCTAGCTATTGAGTGCCTGCGAACAGCATTGGCTCAGGTCAGCCCAAGGTTCAGGGAAACCTTGACAATTTTGCAAGAAAAATTCTATTTTCTTTCTTTTTAATTTGCATAAAGAATAAGTGAATTGTTGGAGAGAAAAATAGCAGATACAGATAATCAGAGATCATCGGAGAACAATTCAAATGGCCTACAATTCAGCTATCCAGAAAGAACCATTCATTCTCTCAACAAATAGGCATTGGGCATCTACTGTGTGCCGGGGACTGTGCTGGCACCTCGGGGCACACCTTCGAATATGTGGGACATGGTTCCTATCCTTCTGGGCCTCACACTTGTTAATGACCTATTAATTGTCAGGTGCTGGCCACTGATAACTACTATTTGAGATGAAACAATCTGAGTGTGAGAAGTGCGTTGATGACACCGAGCGGCCTCTGAACTGAGCTCTGGAGGACACATGATAAGGGGGTGAGGGGATGAGCACGCCCACTGGAGGAGGGGCCAGATTCCAAGTGTGTCTGGATCCAGTGCTTGGGGAGGGCGAGGGGCCCTGAGTCTGCGGAAGGCAGCAAGGCCTGGTCAGCAGGGTTCCCCCTACCCAGGATTTCAGCGTTCAAGAGCCTCTTCCCCTTGGGCAAGGGGCAGCACTGTCCTCATCTTTTCCTGCCTGAGTTGCCCTGGTACAAGGCAAGGGAGTAAGGTGTGTGCTCCGCCGGCGGGGCCGTGGATGGGGCTCTGGGAGGAGATGAGTCTGGGTTGCTTTGCTGTAAGCCGCTTCGGGACCGGTCAGCATCGTCTCTGCTCCTCCGTGGCAAGCACTAGAGCTTCACGTCATCATCTCTGCCCACCCAGTGGGCTGTTGCCTGGCTCCCTGAGAAGAAGGATGCAGCCTTCTCAGAGCCAGTGTCTCATTTCTCAGTGACGTCTTTTGAGGCCTTAGTGAGGAATGTGTTGTATCTGCTGCAGGGCCGCCTGCCTGAAGTGGTTACTTCCTTATCTCTCCGCGAGCCTGAGCGTCTGCTGAGAACTGGGTCAGGGGGCGCTGGCAGTTGAGCACAGGTGTGTGGATGATTTGTTGGCTGTTCCCCTCATCGGCACAGATGTGTGCTTGGAGCTCAACTTGGTCGCCCACTGCCTCTTCCGACACCTGCTCCCGCAGCTGTTCTGCAGCCAGTGAGGTTAGGCTTGGAGGCCAAGGTGACCAGACCGAGGCCACCACCATCCGATGTGGGCATCGGGCAGCACGTGGGGACCATGGTTAGGGAAGGTTTCCAGGGGGCAGTGGCTTCGAGGTGAAGGACAGGGTGAGCTTGGCGGAGTGAAGAGGGGATGGGCAAGGGTGCTCTGGGCAGAGGGGCTGTGCGGACAAAGGCTCGTAGGCAAGGAGGGCACGGTGCCTGCAGAGAACTTCCGTGGCCGAGGCTACAGCCAGGTGTGCGTGGTTCCCCCGAGTGAGGGTGTGGTGGCTGCACGCCCCCTACCTGCAGAGCCCTCCACAGCAGAGGCTGCCACTAGGGCCTTCCACAACTGATGACTGCCAGGGGGACATTGCTATGGAAATCCTCGGTTCCTTGACCCTTGAGTGGGATAACCCCAGGCTTGTGTTTTATTTCTGTTTGTTCGTATCTAGCGTCATGCGGATTTATTTCCTGCAGATTATTTCCAGGACCTTCCAGTATGAGGTCATTGTTCCTTCAGTACTTCCAGAGCTGTGTGACATGTCTGTCTGCGGGGTTTTGCATCTTTTTGCCACTGTGCATGGATATGAATGTATTCCAGTTGTCTGTTCCTGCAAAACAAATCACCCCAAAACTAACTGATTTAAAACAACAACGATGTGGGTCGCTTGGTGGTTCCTGTGCTGGTATTACCTGGACTCCTTCATACAGTTGCTGGAGGATCCGCTGGCCTGGAAGGTCCGGGGTGGCGTCATTTACGTGTGTGAGAGTCGGTGCTGGCTGGGCGGTTGCCTGGGCATCTTGGTTCTCCTCCTTGTGGCCTCTTCACCTCCAACAGGCTAGACTTGATTCCTTGCACAGAGGTCTGGGAATGGCTCTCCAGGTGGAGCAAAGGCAGAAGATGCAAGGCCTCTTAAAGCCTCGCTTTGGAAGTTACATGACGCCACTTTTTTTGTCTTCCAGTTTTATTGAGATACAGTTGGCGGACTGCATTAGTTTAAGGTGTACAGTGGTTTGATATATGCATATATTGTGAAATGATCACCACCATAAGTTAACATCCATAATCTCACATAGTTAGACTTTTTTTTCTTGCAATGAGAACTTTCCAGACCTACCCTTTTAGGAACTTTCAGATATACAGTATGGTTAAGTATAGTCAGTATGCCCAACGTTGCATCCCCAGGACTAATTTATAACTGGACGTTTGTCCCTTCTGACTATCTTCACATCCCCCACCCCCTTTGGCAACCACCAATCTGCTCTCTGTATCTGAGTTTGTTTTTTTAAGATTCCACATGTAAGAGATATCATAACATTATTTGTCTTTCTCTGACTCTCTCATTATTCACTTAACATAATGCCCTCAAGGTCCATCCATGTTGTCCCAAATGGCAGGATTTCTTTCTTTTTATGGCTGAATAATATCCCATTGTATATAAATACCATATTTTCTTTATCCATTCATCTGAAAGGGGACACTTAGGTTGTCTTGGCTGTTGTGAATAATGCTGCAGTGAGCATAGGGGTGCAGAAACCTCTTCAAGATCAAGTGCCCTTTTGGCTTTTGTCCCTTTCCTGTCTTCTCCTACTTACAGATCTTTCCTAGGCTCACATCCCAAGCAAACTGTGTCTGGGGGAATCCAAACTAAGAACCCATTGACAGAGTTTAAACTCAGTATTGAAGATACTGGGGAGCCACTGAAGGACTTTTCCACGTCTGGAGGGACAGGACCAGATTTGCAAGGTCACCGTGACAATGGCCCCCTGACCAGTCCTGAGGCTGAATTAGCGAGGACCAGATGGGAGGGCCACCTTACTCCCCAGGCCCTTGCTGCTGTTGCTGACTGCTGTCGATCACCTTCTGTGATCCTCATTGCTGGTCTGAACATTTGGTGTGAGGTTTCCCATTGAATCTAACAAAAGCTTTAGGATGTGTAAGTTCCATTTTACATGTGAGAGAACTGAGGCACAGAGAGGGTGAGACACCTTTCCATGACCACACAGCACAGCTGGAAGTGATGGCCTGGGGATTCGAGCCCAGGTGTGACAGATCTGGAATGTGTGCCTCTGGGCTTGCTCTTCTCCCTGCCAGCACCGTCCAGGTACTTTAAGGTGGGCTTTTACAGCAAGTGTTGTCCCTCTGCTTCTCCCTCAGGTAAGTTCGAGGATAGGGAAGACCATGTCCCCAAGCTGGAACAGATAAACAGCACGAGGATCCTGAGCAGCCAGAACTTCTCCCTTACCAAGAAGGAGCTGTTGAGCACAGAGCTGCTGCTGCTGGAGGCCTTTGGCTGGAACCTCTGCCTGCCCACGCCCGCCCACTTCCTCGACTACTACCTCCTGGCCTCCGTCAGCCAGAAGGACCACCACTGCCACAGCTGGCCCACCACCTGCCCCCGCAAGACCAAAGAGTGCCTCAAGGAGTACGCCCACTACTTCCTAGAGGTCACCCTGCAAGGTGGGGCTGATGTCAGGGCCTGTCCGCCCTTCCCCCCCCACGTGGGGGCCGGGGTCAGGGGCCCTGAGAGACCTGTCCCAGGGAGTCCTTGCTGATGGGGGCCCATCCACCCAAATCACCAGATCACTCCACTTGGCAGGGATCAGCAGAGAAGGAGCGACTATTCAACCCTGTGTTAGCAGTAACGTGTAAAAGAAGTAGCAGCTTGTATGCAGGCAGCTGGTAGCCTGTCTATTTACTGATCACCTGGTAGTTTTTGTTTTGTTTTGTTTTTTTAGCGGTACGCGGGCCTCTCACTGTTGTGGCCTCTCCCGTTGCAGAGCACAGGCTCCGGACGCGCAGGCTTAGCGGCCATGGCTCACGGGTTCAGCCGCTCCGCGGCATGTGGGATCTTCCCGGACCGGGGCACGAACCCGCGTCCCCTGCATCGGCAGGCGGACTCTTAACCACTGCGCCACCAGGGAAGCCCTGGTAGTTTTTTATACACTAATCTGCAACACAATGCAAATCCACAAGTAGGTCACTCCGGAAGAGCTATCATCATACAGGCAGGGTGGGAGAGAGGATTATGTTTACATCTGCTTTAGCAATAAACTTTTACCCTGTTTGGGGAATTTTATTTGAAGTGTCTAAAGATCTAGGTATTAAGTACAATACTAGGTCAGAAATACTGTTGATACAACCACCTGATAACCCACTGCAAACCAAATATCAATAATATCAGTAACAACATCAACAATTGTGATATCGAGTATTAAATGAGCACTTACTATGTACCAGGCACCTTATTTTAGTGCTCTGCATGCATTGTCTCATTTGAACCTCACAACGACTTCACATGAAAATCATTTGTGCTATTCTCATTTTACAAATCAGTTTCCTTAGTTGTTACTCAAGACGTGAAGTAACTTACCCAAGGCCATTGCTGGAATTTGAACCTGGGGAGTCTGACTCTGACTGTGTCTGTGACCGTACCACCCTGCCTAATTCATACTTTAACAGGCAAATGTTGAAATCATTGAAAGTCATAATCAGTTTAAGACAGTATAATAATGCGCTGATAACTGACTGTTCTTCATGAGAATTGTGGGAATTTCAACGGTTTGCCTTTGCATATAAGTAGTCCCAGCTTTGCCATGTTGCCAGATATCAAAGTAGGACGTTAAGATTTCTCAGATCATTTCCCAGTGTGTACATGTACCAGAACATCATGCTGTACACTGTAAATATGTACAGGTTTTATTTGTCAATTATACGTCAGTAAAGCTGGGGTGGGGGTGGGGGGAGGATTCCCCAGTAAACATAAGTCAAGTTCCAATTTTAGTTAAGAATATCAAACACTTGCAGGCATTCATTCATTCCTTCGTTCTTTCAACAGATTGTTAGTGAGTGCCTACTGAGGGCCAGGCTTTGTTACTAAGTAGCCTTCAGTCATAACCTCAAAAAGAAGCCTTTGAAACAGTGACTGCGCCACAGGGAAGCCCTGGTAGTTTTTTATACACTAATCTGCAACACAATGCAAATCCACAAGTAGGTCACTCCGGAAGAGCTATCATCATACAGGCAGGGTGGGAGAGAGGATTATGTTTACATCTGCTTTAGCAATAAACTTTTACCCTGTTTGGGGAATTTTATTTGAAGTGTCTAAAGATCTAGGTATTAAGTACAATACTAGGTCAGAAATACTGTTGATACAACCACCTGATAACCCACTGCAAACCAAATATCAATAATATCAGTAACAACATCAACAATTGTGATATCGAGTATTAAATGAGCACTTACTATGTACCAGGCACCTTATTTTAGTGCTCTGCATGCATTGTCTCATTTGAACCTCACAACGACTTCACATGAAAATCATTTGTGCTATTCTCATTTTACAAATCAGTTTCCTTAGTTGTTACTCAAGACGTGAAGTAACTTACCCAAGGCCATTGCTGGAATTTGAACCTGGGGAGTCTGACTCTGACTGTGTCTGTGACCGTACCACCCTGCCTAATTCATACTTTAACAGGCAAATGTTGAAATCATTGAAAGTCATAATCAGTTTAAGACAGTATAATAATGCGCTGATAACTGACTGTTCTTCATGAGAATTGTGGGAATTTCAACGGTTTGCCTTTGCATATAAGTAGTCCCAGCTTTGCCATGTTGCCAGATATCAAAGTAGGACGTTAAGATTTCTCAGATCATTTCCCAGTGTGTACATGTACCAGAACATCATGCTGTACACTGTAAATATGTACAGGTTTTATTTGTCAATTATACGTCAGTAAAGCTGGGGTGGGGGTGGGGGGAGGATTCCCCAGTAAACATAAGTCAAGTTCCAATTTTAGTTAAGAATATCAAACACTTGCAGGCATTCATTCATTCCTTCGTTCTTTCAACAGATTGTTAGTGAGTGCCTACTGAGGGCCAGGCTTTGTTACTAAGTAGCCTTCAGTCATAACCTCAAAAAGAAGCCTTTGAAACAGTGTGTCGGTCACCCCTAACAGCCAAAGGAAGGAACAGGTGTTTGGCAGTTCTGTTTGTAGCCCGTCAGCAAGCCCACTGCAGCCCCTAGAAGCCAGGGATGGTATTTTGAAAACTGCTGCTCTAGGCTGACATAAGAAATCCCAGACTGAGAGAGCCAAGGTGTTTTAAGATTCAAGAATGGAAATTCATGCTGTTTTAATTTTTCATCGTGTGTGTGTGTGTTTGCGGGAGCAGTGAACAACCTTGGACCTAATCATTTGTCTGCCGGGGAGCACAAGGCAGGACTCCAGGACCAGGCTTTCTGATGCTGACTCTTTCTCTGTGGTTCTCTTTCAGATCATATTTTCTACAAATTCCAGCCTTCTGTGGTGGCCGCAGCCTGCGTTGGGGCCTCTAGGATTTGCCTTCAGCTTTCTCCCTACTGGACCAGAGACCTGCAGAGGATCTCAAACTACTCCCTGGAACATCTCAGCACATGCATCGAAATCCTGCTGGTGTAAGTTGCCCTCCTGATCCTTTGTGTTTCGGAAATACCAAAGTTCCACTTGCTCGTAAGACCCACTTCAGGCAATTTCCTGGAGGCTTATGGTGGGCTGATGGCTCACGGAAAGTGGGCCGTGGTGACTCCTGACAGAATTGGGATTCGGGGAGTTGGTCCTTCCTGTTTTGAGTAGCTTTGGGCTTGCAATTTTTAGGTCAGGAGTGCAGCAGCAGAAGGGCTCTGTGCACATCTTTCTGAGTGTCTTGGGCTCTTTGACCCAGTGTATCAGTCAGTCTTCTGGGTGATTATATTGAGACACTCTCATTATGAGCTGCTTTTCTCAGACATGGCCACAAAGCTGACTCTTAGCCAGCTAAGCCCAGAGTGGCTTCACGTAAGAGGCCACAGCCTCCTTGCAAGGGTCCTTGGGAATCTTGGGGAGGAAGTGTTCAGTGTTTCAGAGAGGATGCTTAAAGGCATCTTAGACAGAACACCCTGAAACTGATATCGGAAGCAAAAGAGCTCAGTAGTGACTGCAGGGAGGAGGGCAGAGAGGACAGAAAGCCCTCGCCTGGCTGCACCTGGTCTCTTCCACCCAACAGCTGTTGGCATCTCCTGGATGCTGGCCCCGCTGACCACAGGGCCAGCCCCTGAAGAGCCACCTCTCAGCCTCCTGGTGTAGCTGCCTTTGTCCCATTCCTCTGGACTCAGTCCTGCTCCCTAGCCCTTATTTTAGAATCTTTGCCTTCTAGAAGGTGCCCAAAGCTGGAGAACATGGTCTAGCCTGAGTGAGGATGGGTGCCCCTGGATACTGAGCCACCAGCCCTGCCTCTTCCCCAAGGCTGTCCCTCTGGGGTAGCCCCCTGCTCAGACCTGCTGCAGCCTCCACTTGTTCCTTTCTTACCGAAGCCTCTAATTGATTTGTTTTCCCAAAAAGATTTACTACAGGAAGCTTTTTTTTTTTTTTTTGAGGTGGCAAAAGACCTGTTCCATCCCCCTTTTCAGGTGGAGACACTTGGGTTCCTGGGGGCAACCTGCTTGAAATCTGCTAGCTTAGCCAGGGATGGAGCTGGCTGGAAGTGCTTTGAAGGCAGAGGTTGTGCTCACCTAAGCACCGGCAGCTCTGCCCTCTCAGGGCAGGCGCTGTGCCCAGTGTGGGGATGCAGCAATGGGCAAAAGCAGATGGGTCGAAGCTCGAACTCTGCACGAAGGACCAGGTAGTGACCGGAAGTTATCATCTGCGGTGTTGACCGCCAAGGTGGGGCAGTGCAGAGGGGCTGCGGGGACAGCTAGGCTAGTCTTGAGGGGTCAGAAGAGGGTTTTTGTAGGAAGCAGATCCAAGCTGAGATCTGAGGCCTGAGTTTAGTCAGAGAACAGCTGAGGCAATGCTTCAGGCAGTGAGCCCAGGCTGGGAGAGGCCCAGCAGTCACAGCACATGGGTCTCCTGGCATCCCCCTCAGCAAGGCAGGTGTCTGGTGCTGGAGCCTCTGACCTCCCAAGTCTCACCCAAGTCCTTTCCTTTCAGAGCTTATGACAACATCCTCAAGGATGCCGTCGCGGTCAAGAGCCAGGCCCTGGCGATGGTGCCCGGCACACCCCCAGCTCCTACCCAGGTGCTGTTCCAGCCACCCGCCTACCCCAGCCTCGGCCAGCCGACAGCGATGGCCCTGGCCCAGTTCCAGACCCCCGTGCAGGACCTGTGCGTGGCCTATCGGGACTCGCTGCAGGCCCACCACTCGGGGACCCTGCTCTCAGGGGACAGCGGCTCATCCCTCCATGCCCTGTACCCCACCCTCCAGCCCCTGGACGTGTGTCCCGTGCCACTGCCCACGTCCCTCAGCATGCACATGGCTATTGCAGCTGAGTCCAGACACTGCCTCGCCGCCACCTACGGGAGCAGCTACTTCAGCGGGAGCCACGCGTTTCCTGCGGGCTGTTTCGACAGATAGGGAACCTTTAGCCACGCAGGGAGGCCTTGGAGATCTGGGCAGAGGAAGAGGATGCTGACGGAGGGAGCTCAGCCCAGTGAGGCGCCTGGGAGGCCGTGCCCGCAGACCCTCAGGACCCTTGAACAGAGGGTGCATGCTCTTTTTAAATAAAACTGACCTGGGGCAAAACAGGCAGTGACATACCTCACCCAAGAGCATTGCTCTGGAAAACGTCTTCCAAGTGTGGCTGGGATGCAGGGGGATGGCTCGGTGGCCAACCCCTGGAGAGGGGCCCAGCGGGTCGAGAAAGACCTGGGAAGAGGCCAGGAGACTGGGGACTGGATGCAGACCAGCAGTTCATGAGCACGTCCAGGTTTTAGCATCAAAGACTCCTTTATTCTTTGCCGATGGCAGCTACACCACTGAAAAGGGGGCAGCCTGATGTGTCTCCAGACCCCCGGTAGATGCTATCTGGGGTGCTTTTCTTTCCCTGGCTCCATCCACAGGGGCCTGTGTGTGTGTTCATGCCCGAGCGTCTGTCTGCTTTCCGAGGCACAGTGGGCAGCTGTCTTGTTGCTTTGTTGTGGAACCTAAAACCCTCTTCAGCCTTTTAGATATCTCACATGCTGCTGCTTCCCAAAGTGACCTAGCTTTCTGTTCAGTAAGATGTCTTGTTTACATGCTGTATCAGGGATTTTGTGATACTTGAAAAGTCCTTAGGAGAAAAATGATGGTGATTGCCACACTGCCTGTCCCACGCAAGGGCTGTAGATTTTTAACCCGGCTTGGGGCAGACCTGTGTTTAACCACAGAGCTCCCTTTGCAAAAGCGTATAGTTGGGGAGAACCACTTTCCAGGCTCTCGGTTCCGGAAGATTCCACGTCTTGGATGCTCTGTTCACCTGTAGAACTTCGATAACCACCCAGAGGAGAAAGCTTGTTGAAAAGTAGACAAAGATTTAAACCCAGCAATACTCACGTCCTTCCACCGCATGCATCTCCTGCTTGAGGCTAAACCCAGCCTCAGTCTCAAGTTTGGCTCAGAGCAGAGGCTCATAATGTGGGATTGTATGCCTGATGCCAACTGGCTTTGGGGATTTGGGGGCGTGCAGGGTCTGTTACACGACAGACAGGATGGATCAGAAGCCAGTATTTGGGTCTCTGCAGTGAGAGGGCTCTCAGGAAGACTCTTGGAAGCATGTGCAATATGTTTTTATTCTGACTCACGGCTTGTGCTCAGCGTGTTTTATTTTTTGGTTGGTTTAGGGTCAGAGGTCCCATTATTCACCCCCTAGGACTGGGAGGTGCAGAGAACCACGAAGGCGGTTTTTGGTTGATTTTTTTTTTTTTTTTTTTGGAAGAACCCATCTTAGTTTTCTTGACTTGGTTGCCAGTCCAGGAGACTGGCAGGGGGGCTGCCAGGAGTCGGATCTGAAGGCGGTTTTCAGAGCAGATGGGATCCTCAGCGTGGAAGCTGAGTAAAGAGCCTGGACGTGGGCGGTGCAGGGCCGCTTTGTCACACTAGCATAGAAGAGTGCACATTTGTTGTTTTCTCTTTTTCTTTTGCCAACCTCCTTCTATTTATGTGCAACTGGTTTGGATTCCAAGTTATTGTGTTTGTCTTTTCTGGGGCTGGGCGCTTGGGAGGGTCTGTCCGTCCGTGTCGTCGTCACCCCCCCAGTAGAACCTCACAGCCAGCCCAGCCCCTAAAAAAAGTGGTCCCGCAATAAACACATCACCTGCTCGTGGCCTCTCTGGGTTCTCTTCCTGGCCTTCTCTCAGCCAGCCCTCCCTCCCTCTCCCACGTCAGCCTCCGGGGTTGGGCATCCACACTGGTGCCAAGAGGTTGTGGGCTTGGGTGACAGCAAGACGGGCTCCTGCCCTCAGAGCTGGAGCTGGGCCTCCCTGGGACACGGGCTGGGCAGTGGGAGTGAGTGAGGCTTGACATCCCAGCTCTGAATCGGGTGGGGTTCTCCAGAAAAACAGAACCCATTATGGAGGTAGTGAGAGTGATTTAGTTTAAGGAAATCGGCTAAACATCGCAAATGCCTGGATTAGGGTCAGGGTTAAGGTTCCACTTCCTCATACCCTCTGGGTTCAAAGTCCATCTCTCCAAAGCCATCTATTCTGTCATCTGAATGCTCCCCTCTCTTAATCCCTTATATCAGTGATTCTCAGCAGGGCTCATTTGTGCCCTCCAGGGGACTTTTGGCAATGTCTGGACATATTTTTGGTCGTCACAGTTGGGAGAGGGACATGGTTGGCATTCAGCGGGCAGAAGCCAGGGATGCTGCCCAACATCCTACAATGCACAGGACAGCCCCCACGCTAAAGAATGGACTGGCCCCAGATGACCGCCGTGCCATGGTTGAAAAACCTCAGCCCACATGGTCACCTTCCAAAGAGGTCTCTGTCATTCCCCAGGCCTCTTTCCTTACCCCTTTTGTTTTCATCATAGCTGTTAAATCATCTGGAACGATCTTGTTAGTTTGTTTACTGGGTTTGTTGGCTGTGCCCTAAACCGCCTGCAGCCAATAGAATACATAGATACCTGGTGATTGTGACACTAATCACCCAGCTGACGTTTATTAAGCGTTTGCTGTTTATAAAGCACTCTGCTAAGGAATTTGCTCATACTATTTCCTATAATCATCCTTGTAACCCTACAAGGCAGATCAGAAAACAGATCAGAAAACAGGGCCACAGAGAAGTTCTTACAGATCAGAAAACAGGGCCACAGAGAAGTTCTTTGCCTAAAGACAGTGTGGTGAAGGAAGGAGGCACAATTCAAACCCAGGCAGCCTGGAGCTGCCCCGCCGCCCTGAGATGCCTCAGTTGATTTTGAATAAGTGCAAGGCTGCAGCTGGCCGTCCTGCTCACCTGGTGAAGAAGACATGACAAAATAATGGATATGGCTTCGCAAAAGAGTGGCCAGGCATTCGTGCTGCTGACTGACGGGGTCAAGGGGATTCTCAGAGTGCTCAGCAGCAGACAAAAGTACAGAAACAGCTTTTGCACAGCTGCCACAGGCTAACGTGATTTACAGCTCCATCTGCCTGCCCCCAACAGGCTCTGATGTGGGAGGGGTTCCCCCAGCCCCATCTGTGAAGGTGAAGATCTGGGACCAGGCTTGGGGCTTCCCCAGAGCATCCCCTGGGAGGGACCCCACCTCTGGGCTGCCTCTGGTAATCCCTGGCACCAAGTTCCTGGGAAAGAATCTTACCAATCTCATTAACCTCATTCTCTGTTCCTCAGGGAAGCCATTTGTGACGAATTTCAGCAGAAAGGCCATAGCGTTTGGCAGGCGTCTCAAATCCAAAGGCCCATCAGGACCAGGCAGGTAACATAGTGAGTGAATCAGCTGGATGTCTGAGACAGTGCGAGGTGATGGGGACTGATGAAGCCAGTGTGTCCCCTGTAGGGGGTGTGGCTTCTGTTCAGCTCTGGCTAATTACAACCTTTCAGGGATATAAGCCTTATGTTGCCACAACTTCAGATTTTCAGAGAAACTGGATATCTGCACTTGCCAAGAAATCTAATTTTTCGTGATTTAAAAAAATTTTTTTTTAAATTGCAACGCAATAGAAGACCAATAAAACACACTGCAGGTTAAGGTGGTTCTTAGGCTGGAAGATTGCAGCTTCTAGTGTACGGACAAGAACGTTAGCCCGAGAGGTGGAAGGTGCGAGTCTGTCTGCTCTTAGCTAGATGACCTTGAGGAAGGCCGCTTCTCCACTCTGAACTCGTCTTCTCATTTGTAAGGTGAGAAAGCTGTCAGCCTGGGCTGCACTTCAGGTTTATGATAAGAAAGCACGGAATATGTGGCATCATTATTCAGCAGTGAGTTCTGTGACAAATATTGTAGATGAGTGGGCCTCTCCCTTTTGAGGAGGGGCCCAGATGAGCCCCAGAGCTTCACCGCCCCCCATCCCAGCTCTAGCTTTAAAGGAGGAAGAACTCAAGTGGTCAGCCATCTGCTGGCCCAGCTCGGACAATTGTTTCAGGCCCTGCCCTTACCAGAGCCACAGCAGGCAGTATATACTGGAGTCAGGCCTTCTGCTACTCCCTAGCTGTGTGGATGAGGGCCGGTCAGTCCCCTGTTCTAGATCTCAGTTTTTTCATCTGCAAAATGGGAGGGTTGGGACTGGAATGGTCTCCAAGGTCACACCTGGCTGGGGAGCACTTCAGAACAGTGACATCTCCCTGGTCTTTGTACCCAAAGTGTCCTGTTCTGCAGGTCTGCAGTGGGGCCTGGGCTATCCTTTTAATAGGACGCCCAGGAGATGCACATGCACAGCCAGGTTTGGCCACATGTGTCTGCTCTAGAAGCTCTGACCTAGTGTGTTCCCAGTCACACCAGTAGAACCTCCAAGAAGGGCCCTGTTTAGTGAGCACTTACTGTGTTCCATGCCCTGTACTTGACGCTTTCCTCATGGTCTCTTATTCCCCCTGCTCTTCTTTTGTCCTCACGACAACATCATTATCACCATTTTCCAGGTGAGGATACTGAGGTTCAGAGAGGCCCAAGGTCTCACCATGGGCAGGTGGTGTGGACTCAGTTTTGCACTTAGATATGCCGGACTGAGGAGGCTTGTGGCCTCCGCATTGCCGCCCCCCCCCCCCCCCCCCCCCCCCTGCCTCTCCCACTCCCTTTCTCCCTCCTCCTTCGTTTCCCTCTCTCTCTCTCTCTCTCTCTCCCATTTTTTGGGGGAATTATTTTGAGGCAAATCTCAGACACCATGTCATTTCAGTTCTATATACTTGCACCCCACCCAGAGGAAACACACACCCACACTATGGCCCAATCACTTGGGATTTCACTGCTTACCCCTCTGCCCCACCCCCAGCATACAAACACCTCTTGGTATCCTTGGGGGCCACAGGTGTGTGGTGGAACGCCACCTAGTGGTAGTCTTTAAAGATGCTTTGAGAAGCCCCCATTTCACCAGATGAGCTTGGCAGGAGGGAAATGGTTGCTAGAGATGACTTCCAAGGGTCAGGGTGAAGGGCACCTGAACTGAG